CCGTGTGCGCCGTCGCGCGCACGCCGTTTCCAGCGCTCAAAAGTGGCACGCGACCGCGCAGGGACTAGTAGACGCGGACGGAAGCGACGCGGGGATCACAGGCGGCCTCATACGGCCTGTGGCGCGGCGCGAAGCCCATATTGAGGCTAATCGTCCGAGAGGTTTGGGTGTGGAAAGCCGCGTATTTCGCCACCGGGGCGAGGGATGCAGCGACGAATACGCGTCGCCGCGCGACGATATCCGAGGCCTCGACTGGAGCCGTAGTGGCGGTGGATTCCTCCACGGACCACCACGTCAACGTGCAGATACGGCTTGTACCTTGAAGGAGCCGCTCTGATTGTCTGCGACCCACTCGCCCATAGCTGCCAGCTGAGGCCCGCCACCACCGTCGTTCTACGCGAGTCGGGAGGCGTGCGTTGGTCTGGGCGTCGCGCGCCTCTCTCCAGGCGTCGCGCGCCTCGCGCCCGTGGGGCCGGCCGGCGGTACGCCATGGTCCTCGTCGGGTCGCCGCCGAGCAATGCGAAGCCGAGCCGCTTCGCGTCGCGGAACCTGAACTCGATGACGCGCGCGCCGGCGGCGCCCCCGCGCGAGGCGCGGTCCTACGGCGGCGGCGGGCGGCTGCTCGTGCTCGGGAACAAGAGCGAGAAGAGCAGCGCGGCGAAGGCGGCCGCGGTGGCGCGCGGCCCGCGCCCGACGACGAAACCCCCCGCCCCCCCGGGGACCCCCCGCCGCGACCCCCCCCCGCCCGTCCCGCAGGTCGCGCCGACGCCGATGAACACGCCGTCGCTGCGCCGCGAGAACCGGGGCCAGGACCTGTCGATCAAACTCGTGCCGTCGGGCGGCGGCGGGTGGGCCAAGGAGGAGGCGCCCGAGCCGCCGCCCGAGGAGCAGAAGCGCAAGCTCGCGCCGCCGTCGGCGTCGTCGCCGGCCCTCGCGCCCTGGGCGAAGAAGCCCGAGGACGGCGCGTCGCCCGCGGCCGCGACCGCGCCCTGGGCCCGGGGCGCCGACGGCGCGGCCGCGCCGCGGGACTCGCACCCGATGTCGGGCCCCATGGGCCAGCCCGCGCGGCCGCCGGCCTGGGCGCCGGGGGGCGGCGGGCCGCCGTCGCCGCGGTCCGCGAACCAGCAGCCGCCCTGGGCGCGCCGCGACCACCCGGGGTCGCCGGGTCGGGCGCCGCAGCCCTATGGTGACTATGCCCGGCCGGGCGACGACTGGCGGCGGCCCCGGGGCCCGAGCGGCGACGCGGGCCAGCACGACGCGCGCTGGGGCGACCGCGACGGCGGCTCCTACGCGAACATGGCGCCCCAGCCCCAGCTCCTCTCGCGGCAGCGCGGCGAGTCGGCCGAGAGCCGCGACGACGGCCCGCGGCCGCGCGGCGAGTCCGGCGACGCGGCGCCGGCGCCGGCGCCGG